ACTACTGTATGGAGAACTTTACACGCAAAAGTTAGCTGTCTCGAGGGACATGCCTATGTCTTATTTACTGGATAGAGAATGTGGGGCTCGAGCTCTAATGAGCTAGCGCCATAAACGTCTTCTCCTTGCGTGCGCAAGTGTACTCTTCAGCTTGGGCATCCTCCTGCGTCGGAGATTTTATGACCTGAGGCCATAACGGTTTGCACCGTGCAAAATAATGTGCACTTCGCAGGCGACTTCGCCGGTTTGTGATTGACCTCTCCTATGGGGGCGGAAATCACCTAAAACCGTATCACAACATTTGAGTTCGTCTGGTATATCCCACGCAGTCAAAAGTAACATAGCTTACGTGTTTTTTCGCCTGCTGAAATGTTCTTATATCTTAGCAATCCCCATAGAAAGCTCAGAGGTTATATGAAGGCTGATTCTGTTAGAAACAACACCTTGCATATTTGGTTAGGCTTGCATGCATTTACATAGTGTATCCGTTGAAAGTAAGATTAATGAATAGCTTCTGAGACTGAAATTAAAGATTTGGCATAAATAACAGTTCCACATGCGCCCTCACCTTTGCTTATTCGTTCCATTCGCCTTATCCCAATATCCCCGTCCATTAAACGTCCAAAAAAACGGGCATAATAGACTTTTTCTTCCAATGCTACGAGCCAGTGAATGTCGACGCAAACATTATTAACAGTTACGCCTTAACATACTTAGTGGACTGCATGAAGACAAAATTTCCTGTGTGATCACCACTTCAACTCATTGATCTCCATCGTTGACCGTGGATCCGAAACCTCAGAAAATTAATTTTTGAACTCCACTATCTGAGGAGTTCTCCGCACATCTGCATAGCCCTACTACTTACACTTTATTTTTCCAAATTAATTAGTTTCCGTATTTCAAATGTTGTCCTACAGATAAACGGACAGTTCCGCATACATAATAAGGTTTATTTGTAAAGCACATCTTCGGCGCCGTCAAAAACCCCGGAAGGCAGGAAAAAACCTAACCCAAGACCCTTCTTTTGCAGTTACTATTGGCTTTGTGTTGGTA